GTGGCTACGAATGCCACAAGAAGGAATTCTGCATTGCAGCGGGAGGGAAAAGATGATTTTTGAGCACATACATTCCTGGCATTTGTGGTCATGATGATGATAAAGCATTCTAAGTGTAGGCTCCGGGAGGCATTCTATGTGTATGCATGTTACTTTAAGTTGGCATCTCTTGGGTACGGGGTGAAAACGTCATTCCAAGTGAGGCTGGTCTCATGGCTGAACTACTGACATTTACATGTTTTTTGACATTTGTCAAATGTTGACGTCATTCTAAGTGACCGTGTGTTTAATGTGGATCCCAAAGAGTCATTCTATCTTTCAGTCCGACGCTATAGCTATATAGATTTGTACAAAACAAGAGTGCCGTTGCCAAATGAGTTCTCGTTCACATATAGCAGTGTTTTGGGGGCCCAACTGTAATGAATAACAATAGTACAACATTATCATCAATCATAACATGTTTTAACCACTATAAGTGATACAATAGCTCATTTGAATTAAACAGTATATCAAATAATAGTATTGTTTATTATATAACCTTGAGTAATATACTAAATAGTTCTAATGGTTAAACAACATCAAACATCCTAACATCGAATACAATAATATGTGATAATATAAATACAAACAAATTACATCAAATCATACTACTGCAAATGATATTCATACACGGAGTATTTCTTTGACTAAAACTTTAAATATTACAACAAATACAATTAATTGAATCTAGATGGCTCACTTGTCAAAGTTCATCGCGGCCGGCTTGCAAGGATGAACACCAGGGTCATGAACAGCCCCTGCAAAAAAAACTGAAGCTTCCTTGCAGCAATGTTTGAACCTACACGATGTAAAATTGATGCAGCGCAATCAGCAATGATAGCTTCTGTTGACATCAGTTTTCATGGCGGCACGCCTTTGGAAGGCTGCAAGAGTGAGCGCTCAAATTCAAAGCCGAGCTATCCGGCCATTCCATGCGGCCAAGCAAAAGCAAAAGCAAAAGCAGGCCAGGCTATCTGGCCATTCCCAAGCTTCGACAGCTTTCTATTGAAAGCGCTGGCCCATCCATTGCCTCAAGCGTTTCTTCTCTCGGTGCCGTTCAAAGCTATATTGTTCAATTTAGAACAGTTAATACCGTAGCCATTTTGGCTCAAGCAAGCTTGCGAAGCTCACAACTCTAGTGGTCCCGTAACCATTTTGGCTCAAGACTTGACAGCCTCGTAGCGTATTCTCTCTCAATCTTGTGGCGTTTCCAGCGATGGTATTCCATTGGAGGGTGTTTGCGTTGGCATTGCGCTATGTGCACTTGCATACTTTCCGGAGGTCCCTGTGAGATTTCGGTTCCTGGCAAATCTGCGTGATTATGCGCAACCAGGCGTTTACCAGGCATTGTCTTCCCTCGATTCCTGGGACGAATCTACTGGTTCGCTTTCAGATGATGGAACGAGTGGCACAGGAGAGTTTCCTCGACGAGATATTCAAAATTTCCTATCTTGAACCGTCCAATCGGATTGGCCAAGCCGCAGGTTTATCAGTTCATCAATATCTTTGCAAAAGAACACATGGAAATTGATGCAATCCAAGAGCAAATTAGTTCAAATTCATCGAAGTTGCCAGATTGCGTGAGACTTTTGGAAATCAAGAAAGCTTTTCAGAAAAGCTGGGGGAATTGTATCACAAATGTAGCATGAATATCCTAGTGATTGCGACTGCATACTTTATCTTTATCCATGTAGTTGGTAACTTACTTTTTACCGGGGGGAAGGAGTTGATAAAATTGATTTTCTGTCACAATGAACACAATGAGAAAGGTGTTCAAAGTGAAAAAAGTCGACACCTCCGTCTGCTCCTCCATCGGCTCCTCTCCTGGGCCCTTAGACGATTCATCCGTGACACAGGCACCTCTCACGGAGCACCTCTCGTGGGACACCTCTCCTGGCGAGAATCAGGGTATTTTTCATTGAGCTCCGAGATGCATATGCTTATGCCAAAAGGCGTGAGAGCATTTTCCATCATCAGTCTAAGCATAGTTCTATTTAGATTAACGACAAGTATATATATTTTTATAAAATTTATCTTTTCAATATATTTATCATCCCTTATGTATCTATTTTCACCAATGTAATTTTTGATCAACAATTATAAAATTATATGTGTATTGTTTTTTGGGAAGTATCATATCAAATATTAGTCCATATGTTTTTAACTAGCAATCACATTTTCACTATATTCGTATATATATACACGTATATAAACCTATTTGTTAACAATGTTCTTCTTTCAATTTGTCTGCACATTGAAAATCATATTGTTTCATCCGTTATACAATACACTTTACCTGATAGTTTAATACCTTTCGAACATTTTGGAGTTCTATTGTTCAAGCAGTTCTTCTCAAAAGATCTTCACATTAAAAAAAAACGTTCGTCAAAAATGCGTTTGTGTAACCAGTTATAACCTTATCTTTGTTCAACTTTAAAGAAAATTCTGTTGTTATCAAATTATACCATAAGAGTAAGGTACATGGTTTATTACTTTTATATACTAGAGCAAGGTACATGGTTTATTGAAACATATAGTTTTTGTTGATATTTTGAGCAAACTACAACGACAAGCGCAAAAGTTGGAATTCACTTGATATGTTGTTTGTACATAAAAATGTTTTTGTAATAGAAACCAATATTTGTACACAATACAGTCATAGTATTTTCAATCTAAATTCATAATATGCAGGTATAGGTATTCCATTGATATCACTAACACATTCATAGTTACCATTATGTAGATTACTATTAATGTTTTTGTTTTTCCATATAATGAAGTATTGGTATTTTTGTTATATTACAACTTTCCAACATATCAAAACATTTTACCAACTACCAACCAATTTATTGGAATATGTTTAAGTAAATCTGTCACATTTATCTTTGTACTCTTTGTTTTTGATCTTGATATATTTCTGTTAACTTTTTCAGTTGTTTCAACGTTACAATAGTTACTTAATTCATCTATATTTAACAATTCTAAATAACTTTCCCTAAAATCATGAAATAGTACTAATATTCCTGCACATCTTGTACAACACACATAAAGTTCGTTCCAACAAAATAATTTGCTTTATTACACCTATTATTGCAAGAATCACCAAACCCAAATATTAGTGTTAGTTTTCTTTCTAAACCTTTTGTTTGATCAAGTGTTGAAAAAACCAATTTATCGTTAGTTTCCTTTCTTCTAATCTCTTATCATCTTAAAACGAATCATGTGAATAAATATATGTTTGCTGACTTCTTGCTCTATTTTCTAATTGGTGTCTTGTCACTTTTAGTTGAAAAAGCTAATATATATATATATATGTCATTTGGTTTAAAACCCATACCGAAGTTTTTGACACCAGTTAAACGATTTATGAGAACATGTGTTACATATTATATATGTTGTTTTATCGTCTATATCTTATTTTGTTATTACTTAACATACAATTGTTGTAGAAACTGAAATGTAACTTTGTCTAAAACCTGTTGTTAAACTTAGACTTAAGCTTGTTTAAACTTAAGCTTGTTCAATATACATATTTTACAAAGTTATTACTAGCTGGAACAAGTTTACAACATGTTTGAAAATATAAATAAGTCATATCCTGTAGTTCGTCTAATAATACTATATATTAATGAATGTTTTTAGTTTCAATGTTTTCTTTTAATATCTTAGTTATTCTAATATCGGTTTTTGCCTCATGTGTAAAATTTGTACACACAAAGAATTATATGATTGTATACTAAAATGCAACTTTCAATTTAATATCTAGTTTATTCATGTTTATTCATTTAATTTTCTATTTTATGTTATAAACAAAATCACTTTATCATGGTATTTTTTGCTATATATAAACTAGTCGTTGTTTTACCCCTTCCTGCTACAGCATTGATAATAATATTTCTATTGCTAAAGCTGTTTGCAACTATTCGTTGTTCACCTGATACAACTTGCAAATAGTTGTCCAAGCGTCATTTCTCGGAGATTCCGTGGGGAGAGATCGCAACAATCGAGGTAAGTTTGCAGCACGGTGCATCAACGCTATCGCTCAAAGATTCTGCTCGGCAAGCGACGAGCCAACCTTGACCTTGAGCGACTCGCCGCGCCCCACTTTGCTCAACGACAGTGATGCCTCTCGCGGTCGAAGATCCAGACCACCTGGCTTGGTCCGAGAAGCCCTCCAAAGGCCGGCACCCCCTTACCCCGAGGTCGGTGTCGCCGGCCCTCTGCCTGCGCACGTGAATGGGTCGAGCCCACCCAGTTCTCACCGGTCCCGCAGACCCAGGCCCATGATATAAGTAGGATACGGATACCAGCACGGCATAGAGGCACAGCATATAAGGACAGGCTTCCTTCAGCACTTGCCCCGAGCTCAGCCGGTCCAGCGCTTGCTCCCGTTCGCCGTGCTCCGCACGATCCGAAGCGCAGAACGTCACAGAGCTGCGAAGCTCGGTTTCGCCGGAACGTTGGCCTGAGCTGCGGTGGTCTGCGGTTCAACGCCCAGGCCGATGTCGTTGTTTAGGACGTCTCCCTCAAGGCCAAAATCGAAGATGCTTGCGCAATTGAACTTTGGGACATCACTGCAACACAATATAGACCGAAGAATAAAGACCCCTCTTGGGTGATGGCTCGCCGAAAAAAGACTTCTTTGATGAAGCCGCTGTCTGTTCATCCAAGTCAGGCGGGGAGGGGACGAGTCAGACTCCACAGTCTCCGAGCTCCGAGTCATCTCGTAGAGATGTTCATCCGATGTTCGTTGGAGAGCAACTCAACTGTCAACGGCGATGGTTTTAAAGCACCGACCGCCAGATTCAGCTCCCAGCAACGACCACCCCCCCATTTCAGCTCCTCTTCCATCATCCTTCCATCATCCTTCCATCCTTCCATCCTTCCCCATGTCAGTTCCCTTCAGTTTTGGGATCCGGCCATCGCCGTGTTCCTTCCGCCCATCCTTCCTGCCCAGTAGCGATGGGCGAGGCCTTGCCCGGCAGCATCACGCCCAGCCGTGCCTCACTCGGCGAGTGACGCACGCGCGCCCAGTGGTCCCGTTTGGACGACGGTCGGGGGACGGGGCACGAGACCAATGGGACCATGCCTGGTATGCTCTGACTTGCTAACATGGAAGTGGAAAACACTGACCTCCAGGGTGTAAAACGATTTTCTTTGTAAAAGGATGGTAGAGGATGCTAGAGGGTGTGCTTGCCATACCATGGTGAATCCCTGTCCTCTTCCCTGCAAGCACCAGAAGCGAGCGTTGCATGGGCAACTGGGTGTGGTTGAGAAATGGAATTGGTATATTAGGGCATGCAATCGGTCAGCTTTACCAACTCTTTGGCGGGGCTCCCAGTGTGATGGCCAAACGCATGCCCATTACTTACCTATTCTTCTAGCCTCCAACCTAATAGGGATGACCTCCAACCTAAGAGCGATGGCCTCCATCTAGTAGCTTCTTGTTACGTACAGGCGAATTGCGCTTGTGGTTACCGTCACCGGTGTTCGCGGCGCACGGAGTTCGCGGTGGCCTCTGGAGCTTCGCTCTTGGGCTGAAGAAGCTCCACCACGAGGCCCGTCTAGACGAAGGGTCGCGACACCCGCGGGGATGGGTCGTGACATGGGCCCCCAGTCTTCAATAGGGATTCAGCTGAAGGTTTTGGAAGAAAAACGTAGGTGAAGTGATTAAACACCATGTTTGAGGTGTTTTTTGACGCTTCTTTTTGTGAGATCAACTGTAACCTCTCTGAGGTTATGATGCAAATAACTGGACTTCATGCTGAAGGTTGGCCTTTCAAGAAACCTGGCAACAGCTCAGCGTATGGATCCTATTCCATGCTATGGTAAATAGTTAGTTATATAGCAGTATTGGTTGCCTGTCGTTGGGAAACACTCTGAACATGTTGGTCATATCAACGAAGATCGAACAAACCTGGCCATCCATTGCATAAAGTCTGTCACAAACCTGGCCAGAGACAATGCGCCATATTTGCCACATGTCGAATCAGGACAGACTTCGTTCGTCCAAACAGTCACGAACATCATTGACCATCCAACGATGTGGGTCGTGCACTGGGAGGTAGATTGAAAGGCACGTTGTTCCATGCCCTTGTTCGGTTGTTCCAATGCAGGTCTTAATTTAGTGTATCTTGGAGGCATCACAATGTGTTGGGTTTGTCTCCAGAATCTATTCAATACACATGTAGCCTCACATCTATGGGGGAACCCTTGGGGGCACTGTGCCCGTGTGGCCGTGCATTTGTGAGATTGGGTTTGCTAAAGAAGGATCTTGGTTGCTTAAAGGAAAACTCTTGGCTTAAAAGAGTGGGATTTCTCAAGGGCATTGGTTTGCTTGGGGGTTGGGATGGCCTCCTGGAAAACCGTCTCATTTTGAAAAAACTATCTTCTGCCCTGTCCACCTTCTGCCATTTCCTCACCATGAAATACGCACAAGGAAAGGATTTGGTAAGGAACGTCAAAAAGCAATCCCTGTGACTTTGCAGGACCATGATTGAGCATGATTGAAATATTAACAGAACACAATATGGTGCAGGGATTGTTTTGATATGGAAATGGGTAGCCTTTGATTTCCTTTCAACATGCTGTATGTTGGAAAGAAAAGGAAAGGAATGGAACAACAAAAGGACATTGACAGAAACTTGAAGGAATCTGAAGGACTGAAGGCATTCAAAGAAGAAAGGAAACGCAGTAAATATCCAAATTGGTCGGTGATTTCAACTATCTTGAACAATATTACAATATATATAGTATATTAGTCGCTGAGAATACAATCATGCCAAGTAAAACATGAACATAACACTATCCGACACCAGCCCGTTGGAGACTTTGAAAGGATGTGTTTTATGTTTAGATCGGCACCGAAGCAATAATGGTTGATCCCAAAAAGTGTGTGAGTAAGAAGCTGTCGTTGTTAAGCTTTGCCTCTTTGTAGACCCCCAAAAGCCGGTATTTTCAGTGTCTGTGACCAATCCTCAACTTCCCAATCCAAACATCCAACTTCCCTCCCATTCAATCACATCACCCACACATCACCAACCAACGACACGAGCCACGCCACGGTGCCACGCCACGCCACGCCACGCTGCGTCCGACCGCTCGCCTGGCCGTTGAGCGACTCGGTCTTGAGGTCATGCAGCTCCTCGGAGCTCGGAGCGTAGCGAAGCGTCGGACGCGGGTCGGTCCGAGGGAGGAAGAACCAAAGGGAAGTCGACCAATGTGCGACGAAGGGTCTGATAGTTTTTTTTGGTGAACTTCACAGACATGCTTATTTACTGGTCCAGGTATTGGATTGTAAATTAGACTATGTTTTTAGGACTGTTAACTTGACTACTCTACCCTAGTTCTGGACATAGTGCACTTTAGGAAGGGTGTTGAATTCACACTTTCAATGACCCTTCAATGATCCACGATTGCCGATCAATACCATCTACAGCTTCACTGCCGAACAACGTCATTCGATCGTATTGAAAGTGGAAAAGGTGCGGAATGACATAATTATCAAACTCTAAAGCTGTTCTATAGCAGTTCTATAGCTGTTCTATAGCAGTTCTACAGCAGTTCTATAGCAGTTCTATAGCTGTTCTATAGCAGTTCTGTAGCAGTTCTATAGCTGTTCTATAGCAGTTCTATAGCTGTTCTATAGCAGTTCTATAGCTGTTCTATAGCTGTTCTATAGCAGTT